CCTTGTGCCCTGTGACGGCCTAACATCCAATCTGAGTATCTCCCACCTTGTGCCCTGTGACGGCCTAACATCCAATCTGAGTATCTCCCACCATGTGCCCTGTGACGGCCTAACATCCAATCTGAGTATCTCCCACACTGTGCCCTGTGACGGCCTAGGATCCCATCCAAGTTGTCTCCCAAAAAAATGCCTTTGTCCTCCATTTCCTTGGTTCCACTCCACATACACTGCACTGATGCTTTATTGAAGTACTATTTAAGCAAAAATATACTGTTATTCATGGTTATTGAGAATAGGACATTTTAGTTGAGCATAATTATCTGCTGCAATTTCATTGCGTGAAAAATGCTAACATTCAATAAATTCAAAGAGAACATAAACATTTCAGACATAAAGTGCACCATTAATGACCATATAGGTATATGGATTAATGGTTAAATGATGAAGGAAGAAACTGGCGGTTGTTTAAAGACACACTTGGACATGATGTAGCTTAATTATTTTGGAAAAATCTATTTTGTTGCCAATCAGTTACAAATATCAGTAGAAATTCACATTGATACATACACTGAATTCCATTTTTCATGTTACAAGATTTCAAATTTCATAACTGTGATGTGACCCCCCCCCCCCCCATGCAAAGAATAAAATGTTTCACACTCAGTCTTTCCCAATAAAATAAGACAAACAGCATGTGTTTAGAGAAATGGCGACTATAAAAACAAAAAAAATCAATTAAAAATATCTGTTTGGTAAAAACGTTAATGGCAGCGATCAATTTCACTCAGGTTGCATTTCATATGAACTTAAATTAATTCCTCAAAATTTGCTAAATGGCTTGTTCTTATCCATAATATTATTCTATATACAAAATGTTTAACTAGAGCCAAATATAGCTCAACATATTAAACATGAAAATGCATATTAATATTAAAATGTAGTTATATAGTTCATTATACATGGTCAGTAGGGTGGCACAGTGAGTGTTTCTCAAGCCAGTCCCTCCTAGCTCCCGGCAAAAACCTGGACTGTCTGGCAGGGAGCTGGGAGGGAGCAAAAACCTGGACTGTCTGGCAGGGAGCTCGGAGGGAGCAAAAACCTGGACTGTCTGGCAGGGCGCTGGGAGGGAGCAAAAACCTTGACTGTCTGGCAGGGAGCTGGGAGGGAGCAAAAACGTGGACTGTCTGGCAGGGAGCTGGGAGGGAGCAAAAACGTGGACTGTCTGGCAGGGAGCTGGGAGGGAGCAAAAACGTGGACTGTCTGGCAGGGGGCTCGGAGGGAGCAAAAACGTGGACACTGTAATGTGTGGATTTTTTCTGAGTGCTATGACTTCCTCCTACAGTACAAAAAACGCTGTTAGGTGAATTAGCATCTTCCCATAGTGTGAGCATGTGTGTGCTGTTACAGACTGAGGATACACTACAGGTTTTCTGGGACCCTATATATGGATAAGTGGTTGATAAATGGAATGATAGATATACATAGTCTGTATACTATCAACGATAATGATGGCTAATTCTTGTTAATTATTAAGATGCTTTTTTAACATTTTATTACAAATCATAATAAAAGCATATAATAGATATTAAATACAGATCTTCTCCCATAAAATAGGACAGCCAATATAGTCTTGCAACCTATTAAACATCTAATAGAACTCCTGGCCTGTAAATGCTCCAAGGAAGCAGTGGAATACAAGCATGTAGTAAACATTTTTTTTTTTAAATGCATCTTTGGCCTTGGTTTGTACACCTGCAGCGGTGATGGTTATGTAAGCCAAAAAAAAAAGGTGAGAGAAATCACTGTGGACAGGTACACACTCATCAGCGGCTCACCTGTCACGCTCTGCAGTCATGGAAACGATCCCAGCCCCCCCCCATGGAGAAGGCGATCGCACGAAGCCCCCAGTCTGCAGGAGATTCCGGCTGCGGCAGATAAGCTGATGCGACGTGACAGCGGGCGACACGGCGCGTGTGAGATGGTGGGCCTCTCATCCCCGTCGTCCCGGTTACCGTATGCGGGACGAGCCGATTGATGGGACGCCCCTACGAGATGGAGCGAGGTTTGGGGCGGGGCTGGCGTGGGGGAGGACCTCCTATAGGACACGTGAGGAGCGCCCTACCTGAAGGGAGGGGCTCAGGTGATCAGATAGGGTGAAGAAGGGGGGGGCTGGAGTTTCCTTTAGAGGAATAAAGTAGGAATGAATGAAAGCAGGGCGATAAGACTGAAGCATGTGATAAATGGCAAGGCCCAGAGAATGCGAGCCTCGCCACTCAGGCAAAGAGCACTGCAAGACCCTCCCCGTCCTGCGCTGGACAGTGTCACCCACTACGGTCTCCCATCTACATGGTTTTAACCATGACGTCAATATCTTTGACCACCTATTATCATTCCACATTTTATGTTTGTGAATTTATGTTTGTGTTTGTAGCGTTGCGTAGTCAGTATTCTAAACCAGATGAAATGCAGACTGTCGTGATTCCAGTTTCATACTTGACCAGTAACAATAGTTGAGTTACTCGAACTTGCTAATTAAAGCCCCGGAACGCTATATGCAGTTAGCATGTCGCTAAGATGGGGCAGAGATGTGTGCAATACATGACTTTTGCAGGTGTGACTCAGAACTGAGGCTTAAGTAAAAATAGAAGAGTCTGTCATCCTTGGAAAGGCCTACCCAGCCCCCCCCCCCCGCCTCCCCATGTAGATTAAAAAAGCTTTAAAAAAATAATTTAAGATGTACATTTTTATGAAGTCAGTGTTTTTTGGACCAATACTGTTCATTCAATAAAATAGTTTATTAGAGTTAACTTGTTATACATATACAAATAGACATATACTGAATATATACATAAAATATACAGTTTATATGCTATATATATGTTTCAATATTCTCTATATATCCAGAATATATTTACAGAAGCTCATACTGAAATAATTATGCAGTCTATACAAAAGTATGTTTTATATTTCACAGCATTCAGTGACACGAGGCCCAGTAGAATGTAAATGTCTTGGTCTCTGCAGGAATCCAGCATCACATTCAGTGCCCATCTGATTCGCTGCTGTCAGAGTCATGTCTGCCGTTGTGTCACCTGCAGGAGACCTCCACCTGAAATAAGGAGAATGGATGGCTGAGGACAGAGCAGACTGGGGGCAGAACACAATGTCCTCTGCGTGCTCCTCTGATCCACGCACCTGAATCACGTTTATTTCAACCGACGCCTAAACATCACAATCACACTTATCTATAGATACAGCTCAGCTCTATGTGGACCATCTTCAAAAACTGAATTACACTGAAAGGAACATTTCACCTTTTCAATGTTCATGATGACCCATGATTACTAATTAGCCAATTATTCAAGAAAAGAATGAGTTCTATACAGGTTAGCAAAACTGTTTCTGTTTCTCACTTTAAAACTATTTTGTAAAACATCTGTGTATGTTCAGGTACTATTTTGTAGAAACTTTATATCACAATTATATTATATAGGAATCATGACCATATGAGATCATTCCTGACCACCTTGATTCATGGCAGAAGATATATTTGAAACTATTTGTGCAAGTACATTTTTTGCATGGGCTGCAAGATGGGAATTTTTTTATCAGCTTAAACAACAAAGTTTGGTAATGCTTATCTTGAAGATCTCATCTATAATGCATTATAGATACCTTCATAATGCATTATAATAATCGGTAAAAGAATTGATTAAGTATTATAGCATCCTCTATAGACAGTTATAAGGCATTATAGTGTTGATTATAACACTTCGTAAGCTCCTGTGAAGTACTCATCTGTAATGCACTACAGAAACCTTCTTAATGCATTATAATGGTCAGTATAAATCATTATAAGAATTAAGGATGCTTTGTACTGCATTATGCAGTTATCTATAGTACATTATAAATGAGAGCTTCGTAAGCCAGTCATAATGCATAATAAACATGGTTATCATTTTTATATCCATGTTTTTAATGCTGTATGAAGGCATTATAATGTGTTATGAATGTGTTCATAGATTCTTACAGACAGTTCTGACCATGCTCTCCAGCTATTGGTAATAAAGAGTACACGAGGATTCTGTTTACACATAACAGAAAATGTATGTATCAAACTAAAGATGCTCCTAGTAACATGTTACTTTTGGAGATAGCTACTCCTTTACTTACAGTCATTGTTTCTTTATATTCACCAGTGTGTCCAAAAATGTATTGTATTGCAGCAATAAATTTCTATCAAGAGGCCCTGTGGTGGACTGGCGACCTGCCCAGGGAGTACCCTGCCTCTCGCCCGAAGATGCTGGGATTGGCTCCAGCTTCCCCACGACCCAGATGGATTAAGCAGTATAGATAATGGATGGATGGATTTCTATCAAGATGTGTACATGATAGCTTATTAATTCAGTGCAAGAATCTAGGCAAGAGATTTATCTTGGTGCATAATGATTCATGTGTTTTATTTTCAAATGTCATTTCTTTCCGGGGACTTCCCATTGACTTACATTGCTATGGCAACACTGATGTGTCCACCACATGTCCATTAAAATCAATTTCCTGTCACTTGAAACAAGAAACAATTCACAACTTTGGCAGCAGCCTCTGGGCTCCAGAGCACTGATGTCCATTTGCTGAATGGTGCTTCCCGCTGACAGTAGAAAATAGTGTGGGAGTGATGTGGCCAAAGTGAATGTTAAGGGCTAATTCAGTACAGCAAAGCGTCACTCTCTTTTCACAAATGTGATTATAATTGATGGCACCTTTGAAAAATGGCATTTTAAATCCCTAGCAGGGATGCCACAGCCCGTCTACAACTTTTGAGCCGTCCTACACCTGTAATTGGATAAGCACCTACGGAAATCTATACTACTAACTTGGTAGCAGAAGTCACTGTCATCTACTTCCTTCTGTCAAAATGACCAGCAAGCACTACACATAATGGGTGAAGCCCAATTCATATGGCTGCCATCTGCAGCAGTAGCAAAACCTTATGAATGTCTGTGGGGAAATTCTCTTTGCCCCATCTTGCTCTCCTTACTGGTGAGAGCAAGCCTGGGGGGCACCCTTACTCAAGGGCCCATGGACATGTGACTGTTCGTGTAAGGCTGGACTGGAACCAGCAACCACCTGATCACCAGCACAGAGGTTTTACCCGCTGAGCCACATTTCACCTCTGTATTTGAGTTTCATTCAGTCCATTTTGAGAATGTTTATGAAACAGACTGAACTAACAGGCCAGGTGAGATAATAGAATGGACATGTTGTCAATCAATCTATTAAAATCATTCTGTTTCTCAGTATCATATTATTTTTGCAACCCACGATGTTTTGACAGGTATTTTAGGAATCATGCAATGAGATTCATTATAAACTTTGTTTATCCTGTGGCTAACTAAGATGATTATGGAGTCTCTCAGGTGCCAGTTAAACGGATGAGTAATGAAAGTAATCTGCTGTAACCTCTGTGAGTATAAGCAGTCGTCTCAGGCAGCTTCAGCAAGAATAACCTTTGCACTGGCAAAAAGCAGGAAACTGTCTCCACGTACTTGCTAACGCTGAGCATTAAGAGACACCCAACTGAGGTAACAAATTTCATACTGCTGATCAGTGCTGGGAACGTTAATCACAAAAGTAATCCGTTACAGACAGAGGTGGAAAGGTCAGGTCCAGAAAGTACTAATCCAACCAGTTGAGTATTCTGTGACCGTGAGTCTTTATACTGGTTGGTTAAAAGAAAAACCTGGTCTTTAATTGTCTTTAATGGATTAATTTTGTGAGTAACTTCCCCAACAATACTTCTGGCTAGCCAGTCATTCATCACGAAGTGCTGAAAACGCTTAAAGAGTCGCTGAGAATGTGCTGATGTGTAACGCTGATGTGTAATGCTGATGTGCAACGCTTAAGTGGCCATGTTTGCTTTTTTCTTCCATTTCTGTTTGGGAGGGATGGACAGGTCCAAATTAATATGGGCTCTCATCTGCACGCAATATCGCAGATGAAAGGCACCACTGTGAACTGGACTGATTGTAATACCTCTAAAAATGAATGCCGACAAGAGGCACCCATGCACCCTGCATACCTGAAGAGGAACCTTCTCATCTTGGCTGTCTCGTGCCTTTGGCAGGCGGGTTTTTAAAGTCTACATGGAAATGATGATGTGCCGCACACATCCATACGCAGACAGATACATAAAATTACCACTGAACCATTACCAGGCTGTAAAAATATGCATAACTATCCCATACAAATAACGGGATCATAGTGGGTCAAAGACACATGCATTGCTCTCCAAAATCTCACTGTACAGCATCCCCTGCAGAGCGTCATGCAATGAGCTGAGTAAATAATACATTTTTCTGTAGAACAAGAAATTAGCTCTTCAAGCAATAGACAGAGCCTGTTTAAGTGTCATGGGTTTTCCTTGTTATGGAGGAAAACGTGTAATAAAGACAGCGGTTGGCAAATGTAAATATGGTTGTGTGGGAGTGTGTGTGTGTGTGTGTGTTGTCAGGAAAGGTTCATGCATTTCAAAAACTGAAGTTGGCATGAGTTACTGCAATCCTTCTCTCTGTATCCATGTTGGATAACAAAATTGGTAAGAATTACCCTTATGTTTCTAATATATGCTCATAAAGATTGTGATGTCTGTTTTGCATCTTCTTTGATGATCAGAAATATTGATGAATAGAGATGAGGATTTCCCTGTCCTTGAACATGCACACCCTCAATATTCATTATATTTGTTTTATTTTGGTGGCAAGTAGTGCACCAGAAAGAGCGCCGCTTTTGAAGATGAAGATGATGAGGACACTGAATGCGATTGCTAGAGCAGAGATGAGACGCGCGCTTCTGACGTGGAATGCAGCGCGGGCGGCTTCCGCTTGCAAGCTCAGGACTTCAAACGCTACGCTCACCTACGACAAAGGGATATCAGACATTCCTTAATACTGTACTCACCTTAAATGCCTATTAGTTCCAGGTGTTGCTGCATTCTTTCCTTCAAATTTCGATGTCATCTGCTTTTTTACTTGGGGGCACTTGGTTCCTTGGAGGGAAAAAAACGCAAATTAGAATGTGTTAGGGTGAGAAAGAGTGTGTTTGGTGAGGGATCTTCCATGTGACAAGCTAGGTCAGGGTTTGCCCCGCTCTCTGTCCTTGGGCAAACGAATTGACCTACTTATCATGTGTTCTCTTTAAAAAAATGCATACAAGCAGCTGATCTAGTAGAGCTCAAAATATTCAGATATCCATCTTTATCGCTGTTCATGTTGTTCTACCCTACAAGAATAGTATTTTCTTCCATGAGCTCTCAGCTACCATGCTTACTGTTTGTAAAATGCGGTAAGCCATGCATGAATGCAAGATTGCATGTGTAGTAAGAATGAATGCCATCCTATTTAACAGTACAAATTAGGGAGGATTACATCATCTGCGAGAGCCTGTTCTGAGGACATTTCTGTCATGCTGTCCCATCCATTTGCCTCTGCTTTTCTATATTTGGGGACAGCTTGGAGAATGAATTCATTGTGTCTGTTGACCTCTTCCTCACCTCCAGTGCCTAAGTAAATTAATTTGACATGCATAGTTATACGCATAGTTACTTATTTGTCTCCAGGAAGTGGATGCCAACCGTCCAAAAAAACACTATTTACAGAATATTAAAATTAAAGGTGGACATTATCTATCAAACCAAACAAGCCTGTACCGAAAAATAAAGAGTAATTTTCAGACAGCGCGACACAAAGTACGGTCCAAGGGCGTTTGTGTTGTTTGGAAATGTAAAAAAAAAAACACTGCATGTTTTGCCTTGAGCACAAGAGAATTCATTGCCTGGCATGGTGTATACCATGGGTATCGACACTCCACCTGTTACAATCAAAAATACCTCACACCTTTCCTGCGGCATATCTCTCCAGCCTCTTTCACATGTGTGTGTGGGTGTGTGTTTGTTTGTGTGACAATCCCATGAAACAAGCAATCCTGGGATTGTCACTGAAAGCACTTCCTTTTTAAACACCCCCCCACCACCAATGCTGGCATGCTGGGACAAGAAGCAAAAAAAAAACAAAAAACATGACACACGGAGGGGGCGGGGAGCAGGGGGAGGGAGAGATTTTCCTACTTTTTTCATTACACTGGCTCCTGAGATGCATTGTGTGTTATAAAACTCTGTATGTGTGTCATACTGTGTATCATGCAGGGAAAATAAGAAACTTCCCACATCTAATATAAAGGGGTGTTTCAATGGAAAACAAAAACAGTTCCCTGCATTTTTAGTATGTTTTTTTTTATAAATATTTAAGAATTTTAAAAAATGTTATTTGACTGGCATTTAAGTGGTTAAAAACTGCACACAGTGAATGGAGAATTTATATCAGGAAGACAAAACCATTATGTACATATAAGGGAAGGATGTAAGTGAATTTTCTCGATGCCATTGTCAAAGAGTCCACATTATTAAATTTGTAAATTCTACTGAATGAAATGCAAAGAATAAAAATTTAAAAACCATCTTTTCAATATTGTGTTTGTTCACTGTCAAAATGTGTATCGTTGCCCTTGGCAGAACAGCTTTGGTACGTCCTTGGTATACTGGAGTGTTGTCATGGATACTCAAAGACACTTCCACTATCGGTAAACAAGTGAGATAAAGCACATTTCAGTGAGGCTGATCCAGAGGTGGCTGTCCTTTGCCTAAACATGACACAGTCAAGTCACAGGCAAACACTTCTGCAGATTCCATCAGACACAAAATGCAGCATTTTCATAATCATATGTACACTTCGGTTTCTATACATTACAATTTCAGAGGTAGTGGAGGTTTAGTACTTTTCGTTCAAAATTGTGCAAAATTCACAACAGTCCTCACACCTCCAGGATTGGGACTTTGAATCTGACTTCAACTCTGTTCGTGTGCATTTTGCATGTTTTCCCAGTGTTATGTTGGTTTCCTCCTTTGCAGTGGTGTGCAGTCGGGCTACATACCCTCTCTGAATAGTGCATAATACCTGAATGTGTCTGAGCCCACTGACGGGCTGGCATGCCGTCCATGGTGTTCCCCAGCCCTGTGTCCTTCACTGCCTGTGATTGGCTCTAGGATCCTGATAGACTCTCCAGCTGGGGGGTATTCCATGAAGCAAGATTTTGTCATTAGCCAGATAACTTAAGCCAAATGTAAGGATTGTCCAATACGAATGTCACTCAACTCTCCTATTGGACAGTAACCACATTTGGCTTAAGTTATCCAGCTAACTGGGAAATGCTGCTTAGCGGAATACCCCCCAGAACTCCTTGAGATTTTCGAGCTGACCTTTGTTCACATTGAACACTGGTAATGTGCATGGCAAATCTCCCATTGCCGTATATATGGGGTATTATACCCACCCTGCTTTTACTTAAATCATTTACTTTTGTATTAATAGCACTGATGAGAGTACAAATGTATAAAATCCATGTCCTCCGAGCAACAATGGAATAGGATTGCATGCAAATCGGACAACCAGTGACTCTGTGAAGTCTCTCCATGAAACTGGCAGCTCAACCATCTGCCTGGTCAGACTCTGGGGTGGGGGGTGGGGGGGGGGGGTACGAGGGGCAGGTCTGCAGCACCCTACATTTGCACATTAAGTCAAAGTAAGCCTTGACGAAATAAAAAAAAACTCGAGTCTCTGTAATTGGTGAAACCTTGTGACCGACTTGTGAAACTACGCATGGAAGATTCTAATTATTCTTAAATACCAGGAGCCTTATCGACGATTGGGTGCCGAGAATAACCTAAAGGGTTAAACTATTTTCTCTGTAGCATCTCTCTTTTTTATCTTCCTTTTATTACACATATTTTGTCTAAGATGGCAGCATTGTCTTCTGCAGATCCAAAGCCCATAGCCCTTAGACATTGTATAGCTAATTTGATGTATCAATTATTCTCATGCTAATGAGGCTACAGTTTCTCACGTTTCCAAAGGGTTTTGGAACACAGATGGTTGCACACAAATCTGTCGAATACTGTCCCTTTTTTATATCTGGGACAAAAAAAAACTGTGAAAGCGACACAAAAAGCCTGCGAGACGCAACAAAAATATTAGCATGTCTTTGTCCTCGCTGTGTAATTCCCTGCGTTGCATGCGGGCGATACTGTGTTTGGATGGTAGCCCCCAGAAAACACAGCCATCCATATCGCTGTCCTCCTTTTTGTCGTCCCACCCATTTTCCCCTTCTTTCCTCTTAGATTTCGCTCGACATTTGTGGCACTCCGAACCATTATGCCGCTCAGCACCTTGACCATAACAACCCCCCCACATTGACGAATATATGTGGCAAACATGTCACCGATATGCCAACATATGGGAATAACAAGGGAGCAAGGCTCATGAAGGCTGGGGCGCTAACTGGGTAAGCAAGCAGTCGACAGATGACTCACTAAATATCATAACAGCTATTCTATTATTGATGAGAAATCCTACATTCACAGTGCTATTGCTGTTTATTTTCCAAGCTAATGTCTCAATCTCCTCCCAGTCGCTTGTTTCCCAAGAAGGAGAATAAATCTCCTCGCTTAAAAAAAGGTCTCTGGTTTTACAGGGGCGGCTCATTACAAATCAGAATGGCACCAAAATTCATTCACTTGGTATCTTTAAAATTAGGTACTATTAATATGTAATAATTGTTCATTGTTGTTGTAAATAATTTGACACACATTGTCTCCCCTGGGTAGTCAAAATATCATGTGAAATGTTTTTACAGGTCATTCATAATTTTCTCTGTACACTATACATAGAAAATAAAATACAAACACAATACAAATCAGAGGATGACTGGTTGCTGTATCTGTTTGGGGTGAATGTACTTTGTTTGCTGTCCCAATTATTCGAAACCGTGCAACAGCGACACGGACGTCTAAGGTTGCCAGCAAAAATACTGCACGTTGCACAAAACGAAATGAAAAAAAAAACACACAACAATAACAAAACAAAACAAAAAAACAAGGTGAAATTTGTTCTCTGCTTTACAGCATTTAAATCAGGAGTGCACAAGCAGATAACAGCCCGTGGAGATGGGTGATGAATGAATGGATTCACAGGCTCTCGGCACGCTGAGGAATATATTTGGGCTTGTGAGAAGTGAGAGTCATACAGTAAATCTTTTTTTTTTTTTTTAACTGAACCATGGCTTCCAAAGAAAATGGACGAACACCCATGATAGGGAACCTCAACAGCCCCGCCTCTTCTCAGTTGCAGGTCACTCCTGAGAAACACACAGAGCTATAATAGAAAGAACCCCCCCTATTGTTAGGGCCCGTAGCACTTGAGGCGTTCAGCAGACCTGAGCCAGCTGGGCACCTTTTTCTGCAGACGCCTTCTGTGATGGAAGCAGGTCGCATCCTTGGCCGGTGGAACCAGGAGGGCCCATTACGAGCCCGTTAACCCAGACAGGAAAGACGGCAGCGACGAGCAATCATGGCTTTTTAATTTTTTTTAAGGATGTGGTTTCATGATGCTTCATGAAAAGAAGACAGGAGAGAAAGACGGAGAGCTGATTAGAATTAATTTGAGCTTTAGCCACAAAGGCTGATGCTCAATGAGAGAGACAGAATGGGGGATTTGGGGGGAACTGTTGTGACTAACGCTGTTTTACTTCAGCGACCATGAGAACCCTTCAAGCTCGCTATTAATCTGTGCCCCCCCCCCCTCTCCACCCCCACCCCGCACCGCCAACTGCCTGTGTGCAAAAGGGACCGGGGCACAATGACGTTGACGTGTCATTACTGTGTGACAGCGAGAAACAAATCAGGGGGGGTGGGAAAGTCCTTGGAAAGGCAAAACAACAGCCAAAAAAAAAAAAAAAAACTTTTTTGAGAGGAAGGAATCCATTTTAATAAATTTACATTGCATTTGCTGTTCCCTTTCACCTCGCAATGAAACAATATGCTTGGCCACCGGGCCTTGCTCCTTTATCCCGCCGTCTCGGGCCTTGCTCCTACCCTGACAGTGCGCTCCTCTCAGACCCACTCCATCTCTTCCAGGCTTTGGTCGCTTTCAATTTCAA